CCCCCCCTTTTTTATGGAAATAGCAGAGAGCGCGGGAGGGGGTCGTGGCGATTCCCTATTTGGTCATGGTTAGATGGCAGCCAATGGCAGCCGTCCCGCGAGGCCGGGGGCGGCAAGCGCGCAGCCATTTGTGCGTGTGGCGGGGGCGGCGGACGGCTGCCATCGAATTATCACCAGCCATGCTCCGGAGGATGGCTGCACTGACTGTGCCCCAGCCATAGTAGATGGCTGAAATGGCTGTGGCCCAGCCATCTTACCCATGGGCGATCTCCTATCGCGCAACGATTACGTGCGGTCCCGTTTCGTCGCCGCGTTATATATGGATCTCGCCACGCTCCTCCGGTCGATCTCGATTTCGCAAAAAACTAGAAGAGCAGTTTAAGTCTAGCACTTGAGCACTTGAGCACTTGACACACAAAGTGGTCTCGAGTGGCGGGCCGGGCCGGACCGGCAGGACGGCGCAGAGACCGCCGGCGAGTTCGGCGTCTGGCGCCGATGTGCGCGTGCAGATGGTGCCTCTTGGCGAGGCGGTGAGGCGCGGCAGCCGCTACCCTCGCTCCTCGGGCTGGACTTTTGGCGCCTGCTGGGGGCGGGCGGAGGGTGACGGAGAACGGTGGAGAGATTTCCCGTGGCCCATTTGCAGCTCCGTGCTCAAACGCAGGTGTCAAACCAACCGAGCACATTAACGCATAATGTAATGGAGCGGACGCGTCTCACGCATCTAGAAGGAAGAGACGATCTCGCACTCTTCAAAGGAGAAGGAGGTCTGACCCCCCTTGATATGCCGTCCGCCCCGCTTTCGCGTTTCGGGTCTATTCACAGCGTCGCTATCGCTCCTTGTGAATATCCCCTCTCGCGGTTCGGCATATCAAGGGGGGTCAGACCCTACTAGCACCAGATCACCCCACTTGGCTCTTGGGGCGGGTCATTGATGTTAGATTGATGATATCGTTCGTGATTCCTCGCGCGGATTTCTTTTATGAGCGGACAACTTTCGGTGGGAGCGTGCGGAGACCCCGACCGAGAGGGCGCATACCCTACCTGCCAAACTTAAAATTCCTTCCCGTGTGTCTCGCGGCTAGCGCCAATAGAAGAATAACTCGGAGTCGGAGCACTTGGACTGCAGTCATTAACCTCACATCCACAGGGCCGGGGAGCAACTCCTTTTACATCGCCGAGGACGTTCGGGCCGAATATATGCTGGCCGCCTCGCTTGCTGCCGCTGTGCTCGGCGCGCCAGCGAAGGCCGCAGAGAAGGCGGATAGCAACCCAAACCTCCATTTCGCCGAAAACAGGTTCGCCTCGCCCGCGCCCCCCCTCCCTCTTGCCCTCGCATTTCCCCACGGTTCGTATGCTTTCAGCTGGCTGCGGGAACAGCAGTGAAGCTCGAGCACGACGATGGTCGGCCAAAATTGCTCCCCGTTGCTGCAGGCGGGCTGAAGAACGGAAGCTCGTCGAGTCGTATCTCTCGTACGAAGAACCCCCCACTCCGGTCGATCCCTTGCCATATGTGTTTCCTTCCCCGCTCCCCCCGCCAGCACCTCCATCAGCAGTGTGCCTCCCTTGCCCCGACGGTGGGATCGGCCCTATGCTCGGTGGGCGGAGGTCGCTCTTCGGACCTCTGCCTTGCTGCGAGGATAAGGATCCGTTGCTCGGCGGCCGCTGAGGCAACATGTTGTGCGTGTGGCGGCGCTGGAGGGTGGGACCGGGAGCTGCAATGTGCAAAAAGTGCGATCGGCAGCATGACGGACCAGGAAGGAGAGAGCGCATGGGAGGGACCGCCTACAGGAACTTGACGTGGTTCATGTATTGGTATTCCCTCTTCAGTATTCGCGGCCGCTGCTAGAGTCCCCGTTTTTAGTGTGGAGGCCAGATAGCAGGCGAGACCCGCCCGCACGAGCACGAGACCAGATCGTCCATAGAGTGTGTGGTCCGTGGAGTGGACGCGCCCGCGCCCGTTGCCCACATGCCCGCGCGGCCGCCGTTTTTTCATTTCATTTTTGATGGACTGCGAAAACCAAAACCAACAGCAGCGCGGTAATTAATGCGTGTTCTGACGATCGTCCAAAATGTCGTCCGCAGACCGCAGTCAGTCGGTGGGGACGAAAAGAGCGCGCCACGAGCGGAAGTGCAGACGCCCGGCGGCGGCTCTACCGCCTTGCCCCCCACCGCTCCTCTCTACTCGCGCCCCCCCTTCTTCAGGCGGGCTCGGGCGCGTTGAGGAGCGCGGTCGGCGTGAAGTCCCGCTCGGTGGCCTTGCCTGCCGCAATAATCGGCGCCTGCGGCACGCCCTTCGGCTCGACCGGGATGCCCCACCGCTCGCCCTCGGGGCCGGGCACCTTACGCATCCGCTTGACCCACGTGGCGGTCGGGACGTACGTGCCAAGCAGGTGGTCGGTGAGCGGGCAGCAGACCTGGCGAGACAGCCGCTCCGCGTGACGCGCCGTCGCGGCGGGGCACGAGGCGCGTGGGCGGCGCTGGGCGTGCGCACATTGTAGTTGGCCTGGCCGCCGAGGACGTGGTGGCCCTGGTGGTTCTCGTAGATGTACTTGAAGTAGGCCGTGTCGCGCAGCCCCTCCAGCGGCCAGCTAGGCGCGCCTAACCACCGCCACCGCGCACCTCCCCTCAGTCCGCGGTGTGGCGGGGCATGCGCCAGAGGAGACGAGCGCGGCGCGCCATACTTCAGCTTGACTGGCGGCAAGCCGTGCATGGGCGGGTGGAGCATGTTCCACACCAGCGCGTGCACCTGTCCACACTCAGAGCCGTGAAGAGGCCCCGCGGTTGGAGCATGCCCCGCACCCGGCGGCGCGGCACCAGCATGCCCGGCAGAAGCACTGCAAGGTTCTCGAGCAGTTCAATTCGGAGCAGCGCAAACCCGGGGCAGCGCGCTCGGCAGCATCTGCGCACAAAGGTGGGTGAGAGACACACGGCAGTGCGGCTGCGGCCGGTTGCCGCGAGCGACTCTTGCAGCGGAGACGGGAGCCTCTTTCCGACCCCTCGAGCCCTCCACGAGGCTCCAAGAGGGTGCACCGCCCTCGCGGTGGGTTGCGTGCGTGCGCTGGACGTGACTGGAAGTGCCTCCCGCACCTGGACCGTCATCATCCCGGTGACCGCCCACGAGAAGGCGGTGCCGCGAGCAATGTCCGAGTCGAGCGAAGCGGCCGCCTGTGGCCAGCGTCGCTGGATGCGTCACGGACGCATCCAAGCGACAGCCCAGCAGACACCCGAGTCCCGAGGGCTGTTCGCCTTGGTCTGCCGCCAGCGCTTGTCCTTCTTGAGGGACATGTCGTCGTACGTCTCGGCGTGGTGCTGCGCGGCGGCGGGGGCGGCACCGGTGAGGCCGGGGGAGCAGAGCCAGCGGAGGCGAGAGCGCAGGCGGCGGTGAGCGGCGGCGGTGAGCAGCGGCGGCGGCGGGGCGGCGCAAGCAAGCGCGAACAGGATCGACTGCGCGTCTCGACACGGCGGCTGCCCTTGGCGCGGTCGAGGCGATCCCGGTCGAGGCGATCCCGGCCCTCTCTCTCTCGGCTGTGTCTCGCGCCTCGACGTGTCCCCCGCCCTTGAGCTTGACCAGGTTGGCCCTCCCGTCCGGCAGCCGCATCGGCCTGTTCTTGAGCACCGACAGCAGCCGCTGGAAGAAGCTGCGCGACGGGGCGGGAGCGGAGGGAGGTGGGCGGCGGCTTTCGTCGGATCGTCACGTCCGTGGTTGTGGTGGGTGTCGCAGGCGTGTGCCAGAGGTGTCTCGGAAGTGGCTCACCGGTTGAAGGCGTGGTTGCGGTTAAACTCCTCGTGCTGATACCAGCGGTGGGTGGCGTACTCGTTGAGGCTCATCAGCACGTACAGCACCGGCACCGAGATCAGCGCCTTGCGGACGCCGAGGAACATTGCAGGCTGCGCATGCCGAGCTGGTCGCGTCGCAACAAGCGGCCGCGTCGCAGCAAGCGGCCGCGCCGGCAAGAGGGCTGGCGCGGTCGCGGACGAGAGCCGAGGCTGCTGCAGCCGGGCCGGCGCGAAGGCAGCGGCGGCAGTGGCGAAGGCGAGCAGGACCCCAGAGCGGGATCTCATGGCGCAAAGGCAAATGTGCTTGGAAGTTTCCCAGCCGGGCGAAGAAAAAGAAGATAAGAACATCTTACCACAAAGATGAACCTCCTCGCGCGCAAGGCTCAACGCTCCGGCGTTGACCGCACCGCGTGCACTCCAAACTTCTCGTCTCTCATTTGTACACCACGCGATTTGTGTGAGCTCTGTGCCTTGATCTGCTAAAGAACGAACCTAAAACCGCGGATCCGCGTCTCCATCGGATCCTCCAGCGCTTGGCATTTTTGATCGTGCAACAAGCTCGCTTCCGACGCCGCGCGCAGGGCCCTTAGGGGCCTAGAGAACACAACCCCCTCTCCGAAAACACCATATGCTATCGATCTTCGCCGCAGCCGCCACCTCGCTCATTCCCGGCGGCGCCGCCGCTGCGCGGCCGCCTCGGCTCCGCGCGCGTGGCGGCAGACTGTGCTCGCCGCCGCCAGGCGCGCAGCCGGAGCCTCCGGCCTCGCAGCAGCCGGCGACCGCCGAGGGCGAAGCGCCGAACTACAGCTCGAACTGGAGTGGCGCCGGCCGCTTCTCCGACGACGAGCCGCTGCCTCTGTGGTTCTGGCTGCTGGGTCCTCGGCCTCGCCGTGCGCTGCTTCCCGCGCTGGGCGCGACCCTGATTGCTCCCGCTCTGAACCTCTGGGGCTCTGGCTCCTTCCTGCTCTCTCTCGCGCCCGAGGCAGCACGCGCGCGCCGGCTCGACACCTTTTACCCCATATCGGACCAGCGGTTCTACCCGTACTCTGCCGGTGGGCTTGACTACGGGCCCGGCTTCCAGCGCTACGTCGACCCGGCGAGCCGGTTCGAGTTCCGG